AGTCATACAGTGATATTATTACTGCTTTACCTTTAAACACAAATGTGTGTGGACACTCACCAGCAGAGACGGAGCGTACAATGACAGGTCTCTGGCTGCCTGCGATGAAGCCGAAGCCTTGAGTGGGGTGTCTCTTGATAGTAACCTGTCGAGCTGAGGGAGGACTTAGGGTGCCACTGTCCATACCATCTTGGCCCTCCTCTAACATTACAAAGCTGCAGTGGAAATGTAGCACACAGTATTACCATGTCTTGTAGCCAGACCACAACTTTCCAAACAAAGTAGCATTTTTGCAGAAATCAGTTTTATCTGATTGATCTGGAATAAACCCAAATTGCTTTTACCCCTTGGAAATACAACTGTAACCCTCTAGGACAAGTCTAATTATTATTTGTTTTAAATATTAACTGACTGACCAAGCTGACACCTGTTGAGTTCAATTCTAATACAAGATACAGATGAAATCATTGACAGTTTTGTTATTGGTCATTATGCTTTTTTCTTTCATTTTTCAGGTCCAACTAATTTCAATCTGTTATATGGTTCCCTGTGGTGTTTTAGCAACAAAAGTTTCTGCCAATATTTAAGATCTTGTGCCAACTCTTAAATAGCGTAATGGCCTGAAAACTGTATTAGCTGTTTCCAGTTGTCCTGCTTCCCAACATACCTGTCATATGCATTTGTGTGTCCATCCTGGACTTTTGCCATCCCCTGGGAGGAGAGAGCAGCATGGGACAGGGCTTCACTGCAAAGACGACTCTCTTTGTTGCAATCATTCACCTGAATGGAAAGAAGAAAGTACAAGTATTTTGAACACACACTTTGTCTTTTGCTGATGCCAGAAGTGTGAGGCATCACCTGAAAGCACAAGTGTGAGTGAGTTGACGTGGGTATTTGTTATGAAGGGAAATGTGTCCAAGTGTGAATCGTGAGTAGTCCTTTTATTCGCTCATGCTATTTGAATACTGACAAACCATTTAGATGCGTATGTCATCATGAATGGTCTAAAAATTAAGGCAACTAAACAGTTCACAGCCACTCATTTTTATGCACTGTTGAAACCAAATACCCTTCTGAGCTCAAACTGTCAATACACTGCAATCATATAGGTGCCACCTGTTGTCAGTGACAACAGTGGCTCATTTATAATTCCACTGGTGCTCCATTGATCCTTGATCATTGAACCTTGTGCCATGCTATTAGAGATACAGGCTGATGGAGGCTATCTTAAGCTTATAAAAGTCCCTACTTTGAATTCTACTCTCAACAATTATCCTAAAAGATTGTTCTAGAGTAAAGCCAGCAGCCCTTAATATTTATCTCTCTCTCCCTCCAGAACATGTTTGATTGGATCTTTAAGGAGGACCCAAAACCAGCCATTTATCAAATTTTTGTGGATTAAAGCTGCCAGTTACTCCACCGTTCTCTTTAAAATAACATAGTAACATACATTCAGTCACTGGGTAACAACAAATACAGCCCAAACACACAGAAACAAAGAACATAAAATATAAGTCAAAATATTCTGTAGACATTTCTGAGTTCAAGAAAGTGTTACATTACAATACAATGTGCAATATCGTACAATCAGGCAGTACATCTAATAATTTGCATCAGTGGTACATCAGCTCTTTATTTTTGATGTAGCATAATCACAAGATGATTTTTATTTAAAAAAAGATTGAGAAAGACTGAAGAAATGTGAGCAGTGAATAATGTTTCAGTTGAGATGTTGCTCAGATAAACAGACATCTAGCAGCGGGGCATCTTTTTTACTGAGCAGTGAGGAGCTCAGAGAAGAGTCCCCCAAGGGCATCAGCAGGCCCTGTCGTCTCTATGGTTACTGCAGTTGGTACAGTGTCTTGGGTCTGGTCGAGTGTTGGTAGGTGGATGACAGTGAAATGGGAGGAAACGCAATAGTAGTGGGCACATGCCAGTATTTGGGTTCTGGGCATCAGAGCTATGCATATACAAACTGTGACCTTTAGACTCAGTCGCCATGATTTGCATTGTAATGGGTATATCTCACATTAGCAACCACAGCTAATTAAAGTAGCTTTGAGGATTCTATTATCCATGGGTTTCAGCTTCCTGCTATATGCAACATTTTGAGGACTTTTTTTCCATTCAAAAGGTATAATTCTTAGTTTTAAATTGTTGATCACTATTGTAACCTATGGATAGGGCTTGGTGATATGATAAAAAAAAGTATCACAATTTAATTTCCTCATACAGATCAAGTTTCAGTTGTATTTTCTTATTTTAAAAAAGGAAACTGTCAAATTAATTTCCTGGACCTTCCTTTTTAATCATTGCCAGTGACATAAAAATGTAAACTTTCTTTTGTAAAAATGTGAACTCTGCTGCAAACCACATGCTTCTACTGGCAAAGGATTGGCTATCGACCCCTCAATTAAAAAGACCTGATCATTAATGATTAGATGTTACTGAATCTTAATTTTGATTAAATTTCATTAAATGTACAGTATGTATAACTTTTTCAAGGTAGCAGGTCACTTGCATGATTCCATGGAAATAAGAAAGTTAAAACCATACTTTAGAACTTTCTGAGTTAAGATAAATTTTATGGCAAAGGTTACAACTGCAGAGCCCTGTTATGAAATATATCTGTTTTGTTGTAAAATAAACTGCTGATAGACAATTAAAAGTGAAGAGTTGTCTCTCTATACTCTTAGAGCCAAAGTCTGCTCAGATCAATAAATTCAATTCTGGCCCATTTACTTACTGAATATGAACAGATTTGTATTTTTATGTAGAACAGCAAATAAGCAATAGATAATGTAGAGTTATTGCTTACGTTTGGGGCTTGGATTACAGCAGCAGTACAGTTATGGTTCAGTGATTTCTCTGTTAAAGTGGGTTCATGTGGCATTGTTCAGGTGATAAAAAGTAGCTTTACTGATACCTGGCCACATTGGACAAAATAGTGCTCATTTCATATGAGTAAAGCATTTCTCATTTGTTCACTGCCAGGTTTATTACAGACTTCTGCAGAATTACTTAGTGAAAAATAAGGGTCCCACTGATTCTTATGAGAACTGTATGAGCCCATGAAAAAGGCAAATCAGTTTGAAGGGGAAACAATGAAAAAAAAAAGTCGAAGCTAGTAAACAAATATTCAGGATGAGGACAGGACGATTAACCAAATAGAGAACTCATATTTTGTTTTGGGTATTTCAAAAAAAAAAAAAACTGGGTGAGAAACTATATTAATTGTGCATCGGTGCAAGCGTTTGACTAATCCTGTTAAATCTTGTTTTTTGAGCCCCAAAGACACCACACACATCAACATAATCTGCATAATCTTGATATTGAAATGTTAATGCATCTGTAGACAGCAAACATTTATATAAATCTAAACGTAAGTCAAGATGGGTTAAATATGGAAAGCTGATATTGTACTGAATGTTTACAAATATAGTAAATGTCCTGCGAGTAAAACACGGAGGCGGACCAAAACAATTATTTATGCATTCAAGGTAAGTAAATGCAACATATTTGTTTGAGCAACATTATTCATAGTTAATTAGTTAGACTATTCCCACGCACAAGAGTTGCAGCTTAGGCTTCGTGATACCAAGTCTCCAATGTAGATGCTTAATTATGGCTTAATGGGAATTAAAGGGACTATTCCAGTGATAATTACTTTGGTACTTTTAAATGACACTGAATTACCAGGATACTTGCTCTGCAGATGCTAAAGGAAATCTTCCTTACATTGCTCTTGCACTAACTGTTAATTAATGGTGTCTGGCGAATGACTCAATTAACAACATAATTTGGAGTTACTGTAAATATTCAACAGGTATAACCAAAAATAACAAGAGGAATGCAGTGTTAACAGACTGTGTAAAAAAACCTGATCTGCAGTTTTATGCAAGGTTTTTAATGCTGACAGGTCAAAATAAAGCTTGATTAAGACAAAAAATATAGTAAGCATAACAATGGAGAAGGTTCATTTATCAACATTTACATTTACTTTTATATTATTTATACTTTTTATATTATTTTGCTATTGGTATTGTGTGTAGTGATCTTTGGATAATTTGTCCTGCTGCTATAATTGAAGAAAATGCATTGCAAAAAGCAGTGCTAATGCAAGTTGTGTCACTAATTTTAAGTGGCAAATTTTTTGGATCATTTTCAAAAGCAAGCAATATGTATTTCCAAGAGTTATCATCATCTAAGTTCAATATAAACGAAAAACTAATTTGGAGTTTAGCAAGCATGTGAGGGGCCTGAGAGGGCTACTCCTAATGAAGTGTATTCAGTTTGCCTGTTATTTTTAAACTGTATTTACCAATCCCCCAAATTCTCTATTAACCAGATTTTGGTTTCCTCACAAACAAGCAATTAAGTTTTGTTTTCTTAAACATTAAACTTGTGGGAATAGTACCA